AAGGTGGAGAGGGGAAAGCGCTTTGGAAACAGTGGAAAAATATGGAAAACATGAAAACACCAGAAAACACAATAAGTTTGGAAGAACTGTTCTTTTTTCTTTGGACTTCCTTTGGATGTTCGCATTTTGTGGGGTTTCCTTTCTGGGATTTCCTGGAACTGGGGGACCATCCCGGTTGGGAACGGCCAGGGTTACTCCTGTTTGTGTATATACAGTATACATATCTGATCATGATACATCATTACACATGTATCCCAAACAACATCGCATAGTACTTGGTGGTTTGCATACATACAGTATGTATATATGTTGTAACATGATATATTACTGTATCTGTGATATCAATCATGTTAAATATTATCACGCACACATACATGTACTATACTATATACTTTTGTGTATTATTATGCACACATATATATATATATATATATTAAATAAGTCTTTTATACATGTAGGACATGTAATGCAAATGTATACATATACATATACATATACATATACATATACGTATACATATACATATGCACATACATATATGTATACAGTACATATACATATACATATACATATACATATACATATACATATACACATACATATACATATACATGTATATATATATACATAATAATAACAACTATATAATAATAATGATAATAATAATAATGATAACTATATATATATACACATGCATATATACATGTAATACACTTCTGCAATATATATATATGTATATATGTATACATATATAAATAATGTGTACAGCACGTGCAGAAGGATGCCTGAAGGCAAAAACATAGGCAGTCAACCCTCGCTTCCCAGATCGACCTGAGTCAGCTGAAGTTCAAAGATCGCGACATTCTGCAGGACGCGCTGGAAAATGGGGGCATGGGGTCCACCTGGTTCAGTCTGGGGTCCACCTGGTTCAGTCTGAAAATAGGGATAAATCGTGTATATGTATATGTGTACATGTGTATATGTGTACATGTGTATATGTGTATGTATATATATATATATGTATATATATATATATATACACCAGCAATTATTGTTAATAATAGGGATATTTGATTGGATAAGCAACTCTATGATATTTAGGAATGTCTGAGAAAGGATCTTAAAACCAATTTCTGGCAATTTTAATGGGGAGGATGAGGATTCACCAGCGGATTAGGGGTACAATATTTTCAAACAAACCCAGCTGTTCTGGTTGATCCATTGAGAAAACTCGAAGTGACATATCATGGCATGTCTCACAAATGTACAGACATCACCTTGTCAGAGAATACTTGGGTGCTGCAAGAGGGGCAAATCCCTGAAAGGCAGCTAAGAAACTCAGGTGCATGTCCCAATTCTACGAGATAGGATCAAGTCTGATCCTGCTACTTTTCATGACTTTTGTTTTCGCCTACAACAACTGAAGGCAGGAAATTGAAACAGTGGCCAGGGGAACTTCTGGAGACGGGGGATTCATCCGGCCGTGGCAGGATGTCTTCAAAGGCTGGATTGGGATGGTGGGAGGAAACAACATATGCCTGGTGAAATTGATCATAGGACCTTTTTTCCGATATGAATCGATATGAGATTTTATGCATTCTCTGCAATTTAAAACATGCACGACTTCGATAGGTGGGATGACCAATCACTACTGCAGGAGTTGTGATGCATTTTAACCATGGCCCGTCTATGTTGTTCGGGAAAGAAAGCGGCCAGCAAAACTGTTGTATATAATTGTATGCTTCAAAACATATCGCCCCCAGTCCCAAGTGACAAAGACATGACCATCTGGCCATATGCCCAGCTTCGCGATGACCATGGACTGATCCACCATTTCTCCGATCATGAATAGCTGCCCCGTGAACATCGTCAGAATAGTCGATTTTTCCATTCCAAATGGGGTTCTGAGAATTTGGACCCCATCAATGCATATCAATGCCAAGGTTTAAACCCTGATTTCCATTGATTTCCCCCATTTTTGCATGGCCGTTGGGGAAGATCCAAGAAGAACCCACCTGGCAGGTTGGTTCAAAGACGTGCCCTTCGATGTCGAGGCCCTCAGGGAACAGCCCGGTGACCCAGATTTCGCGTGGTGGGGCACAGCTGAAATTGAAGGGTTGCTGATTATCCGCCCGAAAATAACAGGAATTCAAGTGTATGATCATTTTTTTAGATATATTTTTAGATGTGAATTTTCAGGAGTCTAAGTCCAAGTGTAAAGTGCTGGTTGGTAGTTGCTAGATGATTTCGAGATGGGATTTTCTGCACTCCTTGAAGTGGGAACACAATCTCCCCATATCTCCCCGATGTCTTGCGCAAGAATTGGCTGGTTGCACTTGTCTGATTTCAATCTTGGGATCCCTCCAAAATCGGTTGAGATTTACATCAAAATGGTGATCCCCTGCAGTAAAATCTCCAGTCCTCTGAGATCACCGAGGCGATGTCGTGGCTTCTACCGTGCTAGGTGGGCGACCTCTCAGAGGGTGGAGCCAAGATGGTGTCCTTTCCACTTAAACCACATCAACTTCCAACTTGACAGCTGGGGAAATGCCGCATTTGTGGGTGATGTACCTGCAATTACCTGCATATCAAATAGCTGAGAAAAACTCCAAGATTCTTCGTAAATGCCAAACATGAAAGGAGCTGCCACTCAAGTCCAGGGCTGGAATCTTCTGAGAGCTGATCCTTAAGCGCATGGGGTTGTGGATATCCGCTGCGCTGATCGATCCTCCTACGAGCCTTTAATCAGGGTTTGGTGGGAATTTCAGGCCTCCACATAGTAAGACGTAAGAAAACACGGACTGGCCTACATTACATCATTTCCAATCTTGAGAAAGACCGAGATGGGCATTGTTTTGCGATAGTTTTGCCAGGTATGACTATCGAAAGAACCTGATGGATTATGACTACCAGACCTTCATCAAGGCTGGAAGTTGTCACAGTGCACCGTTTCTGGGGATGCAAGCAGTCCTGAGACCAAAGCAACAGGCTCGTTGGCGGTTGCAGATAAGAAGCTTTTATAAGCTTCCTATTATTCATTTTCCGTCCTCGAAACAAGATGATGATCCCATCCCAACTGACTTCCTGTTTCTTGGGCCGGTTGAAGCTACACCCAGACCATGACTGAGAATACTAGGCGCTTTGGACGTCGGTGGCCTTGCGATACGTTCTTCAATGACATTTGGCAATTAGTAAACACATAGGACATGTTGAAGGAACATTTAGGGGTTTCCAAAAATGGGAGTACCCCAATAGCTGAATGGTTTTAATGGAACATCCTATTGAAATGGATGATTTGGGGGTACCCCCATGACTTAGAAAACCTCTATTTGGAGAATGTTGGAAACCAAAAGCAGATTTGCTGAGGACAATTAGAACTAGATGGTATTTTCCTTGACGATCCCTCGACATTCTGGAAGGATCCGCCATGGCCATGGCAGGAAGTGGCTGGCATCATCCATTGGTTTCACTACAAGCAGCCGCTTGACCTCGGAATAGCTTGGAGATATGGCGACCGCTAGGCGTGTCTGAAAATCAGGGAAAATAGGAATGTTCATGGGGAAAATGCCGTTTTTTTCAAAGGATTTGGTGTCATCCCATTCCAACAAAAAATCAGTCAAACCCATCCGTTAGGCTTGATTTTCGAGACCCATTCATGTCCTGCGAAGTTCAACCAATATCCTCCGAGTACAATGATAGGCCCAATACAAGTACCAAACTGGGATTAAACATCGAAAAAAAAAGTATAAGTGACGTCAAAAAACTCCCAATGAGCTTGTACCAACCGGTAAATTCTGCTAGTAAATCCATGTAAATCCCCATGTTGCCAAGGTTCGGCCACACGGGCGTGGCCTTCGAAACCCGCCTGGCGAGTTACGCCTCGCCCAACCGGACCCTGGCGCTTGGGACCCTGGGGTGGTGCTGGGGGGATTTATGTGGGTAAATGATGAGTAAATGATACAGAAATTTGTAGGTGTGGAATGGTGTGGAAGTGGGTTGGAAGTTAGAAGATGTTAGAAGCCACTATACTGACTATACTTCAGAAATGGTTGGCAAGTTGCTTATAACTCCCAGTTGTGACCTGATGTGCTGGGTTCAAGCCTCTGCTTCCTGTGGCTCTTGAGTTTCAGGAAGTCAAGGTTTCAGATGATGGTTCTGCTAAGACACCCTCAGCAATTGCATGTGGGCTGACAAAGACCAGACCACCTTTTTGCATCCGTAAACCTGGAAGATCGAGGCTTCAACACTTGGTTTCAGTAGGTGAAGTTGGCCCACCGCCTTCACTTCTGATTTCCAACCAGCTACTGGAGAATCGAGAACGGCCTGGACACCGTCGCCGTATGAGCTTCCATGCGGGGACCCATCAGCAGAAGTCTCTGAGGCCACAATATGAACTAGGGTCCTCATATGTGGGCAGTTTGGGGACTTAAACATCACTGGAACTTGTGTTTGAATACTGATGAACCGACCCCAAAATGCGAACTCAGATGGACAGACATGGTTTTCAACTTCCATCAATCCGACTTCTTCGTCCCCTAAGTCATATTCTTCACAAACCAATTCTGACCCTAAGAAGACAGCTTGAATTTTGGACAGCAGGATCCAATTGCACCGATGGTGGCCCAACAACCCAATCCATTTTCATAGGGCTTTTAAAATAAACGTATTTTAGTACCGTACCCATTATGTTTGGATTCCCAGGACCCATTAACCCCATGTTTGGACCCTAGCACATGTGGCTGTTCACATGTGGTTATGTGGTTGTAGCGTATCCGCATTGCGAAACATACAGGTTGTCAATGGTTGCAGCCAGAGATCAGTCGTTGTCGGCAAAAGAGCTCCAATTCACGGTTGTTCTAGTGCTTCTCGTTCTACCCTCAGAGCCCATCACAACATAATTCAACAACATGTTTCAAGATTTAGCATCCAAGAATCAGGTGAAGCAATTTCCACCCAGTTTCCCGACCTTTCACCAAGCTTTTCGGGTTCTAACCCCACTTCGCCATGGCGACTTCCCGGTGCCGCCGGTGGCCCCTGGCCCCGCTGGCCCCGCTGAGCCGTTGCCTCGGCTTGCGGTGCTTCGCCACGCGCGACGCCTACAGCGTCATGGGACTCGACCGCAGCGCCACAGCGCAGGAGGTGAAGGAACGCTTCCGGACGCTGGCGAAGCCACCTGGTGGAATTTTGGGTGAGAATTGTGGGGTGGAAACATGTGAAAACTATACGATGTTTGAATATATATATATATATGTATATAAATATATATGTACATATGATATATATATATATGTATATGCATATAGATAAGATATGATGTATATATATATGATCTATAGATATGATATATATATATGATATGATATATATATATATGATATATATATATACATGATATATATGTATATATATATATATTATAGATAAATATGTATATTGAACATGTATAAGTATATATTATGATCTATTATGATATATTATGATCTATTATGATATATTATAGCAATTTTGGGATGACACATGATCCTACTCCATGTATAGATGCATGTACATAGTTGGTTGATGTCACTCCAGTTTTTGGTGGTGCTGATGATGGTGTGGGGATGGATTCCAACATATTCCAACTGAACAATAGGGATGGTGATGGATTTATCTGGGCAAATTATAACGACCGAACCCTGTTCTCCCGAACCCTGGAATCAAGTTAATAAGGGAAATCATTCCCAAATGGCCTTAATTCAGGTTAGTGAAATATTATGATTTACCGAGATATATGTAAGAAATGTTTATCCCATACTCCAAAGCTACAGAGAGGTTCCCTGAAGAAAGGATTCATGGTTGACAGATGTTAATATTATATCCCAATGCTATTCCAGGTACACACAACGTTGTAAGCCACTTGCTAACTAGCCGAACCAGCTATTATCGGTATCATCCCAATGGGTGTGGTGAATGGATCCATGACCTCTTGGAACTATCAAAGATGTGTGGTGGGGTGAGTCCTGGCCACAAGAATAGAGTAGATTTTGGGCACTGAAAAATCAGGTTTCTTGTGAAACACAATTCTGCAACAAATTGATCTTTATGAGGGATTGACATCATTGAAAGATATTGAAAATCCGCCTTCACCAAGCATTTCAATTGAGGCTCACTAGGATTTGGTTCATCTGGTGTCGAGCCTCTGCAGTGAGGCAATATCATCCGGATCTGAACACATCTGACCGAAGTGCTTCTATCAAGATGGCCGAAACCTGGAAGCAGCTGTCGATAATTTTTTTTTGACCCTCCACTGGGCGAGAGTGAAACCATGTCAGCATCACTGTAACTACTGTAACTGTAACTTTTGCATACTTTTGCAACTGTTTTTTGTTGTTCAATGGGACTTCCCTTTGCAGCTTTCTCCGAACTTCAGATACAGCCAGCTACTGGTACCATACTCTAGTTGCATTGGGAGAATGATTAGCTTACAATATCTTGCAAATGAAGTTCTATGCCTCTGAACATTTCTGCCAGAATTTAATTACCCCAGTTGATTTTTGGTCCAGCGGAACATCTAGCAAGTTTGAGGGTTTTTGAATCTTTGAAAACGGATGGCGGATGGTGTCAAATATCACTTTCTCTGCCCAACCCTGGCCCTATTGCCCCTAGTTGAATCACACTCACCGGAAACGGTGTCAACAGCAGCAACAGGGAACCCTCCCAGTTCTCCCAGTTGGTTTTGGTAACCACCCAAGCCATTGGGCTTTCTAAAGGCTTTCTAAGTCTAGCCCATCTAGCCCCTTTTTTGCCAGAGGAGCTGACCAGCGCATACGACACGCTCATGGATCCCAAGCGTCGTGCCGCCCTGGACCAAGCCACTGCAGGGGCATATGCTGGGGCAGGATACAACAGCTACACTGGAGGATTTCCCAACTTCAATCAGAGTCACTGGACAAAAAGTGTGGTCGTTTCTGTATTTTCAAAGATGTTAGATCGTTTTTAGATAGTTCATGATAGTTCATGGATGGTTTTGATTGTTTTGGAGGCTTGGTGTAGCTGGCCCTGTATTTGTTTGGCGGTTCCCGCCAAAAAAATGGTCTGCCTACATGACTGGATGGTTGGATTAAGGCCGCAACAATGAGTGGGTCGGACTCGGAGATCTCGGCAATCTGTCCAAGAATGGGGGAAGTTATGGCAAGGGAAACTGATGAGAAACATTGATAAACCATGAAATTCTTGGTTGTTTGTTTGTTGACAAAGCCATCTGGGGGTTTCTAAAATTGGGGTACCCCAAGACCATGGGTTCAAAAACTAAAATGAACTAATTTTGGATGATTTGGGGTACCCCTTTTTTAGGAACCCCCCATCTAAACTCTTGAGCCAGATTTCAGATGACCTTCACCCAGAGGCGATGAATGGGTTTCTCCGTCGCAGATGTATTCCGAGTATTCCGCATCTCGGCCAAAGATGGGAAGAGATGGGAAGATGTTTCGACAGGTACCCCAAAATGATTTTGGGCATTTGCAAATGAGAGGATGAGAGCCTTTGCTCCGGCAACGCAATGTGTAGGCAATGGGGTACAGTACCCTTCGTTGCGCAGTGGGTTGGCGATCACGACAACGTGGCGACAGCGTGACATCTCCCCCCAAATTAGTTTTGTGCCATCTTGTGGCCAGCATGGCGATTTTGAACATGTCAATCATGTCAGTGAACTACCATTGCTCTGCTTGGCCCAACAAGTTTGCATGAAAGCAATGGTAGAAAATTGTAGATAAAAAAGTAGCTCTTGTACAACTCAGATTGCTCTCTTGAAATGTGCCTATATGGGCCTAGCTACCTTCGAATGGTGTACATGATTGACCAACTCATGACCCACCGACCTCCCAGCACCTCAGGATTTGTTTGGTCGCAACTCGCAGTTTCGCACAACTGGCAACGATGCTGCTAGTGCACAAAGGGGAGAAGATGTCAGTACCTGCGCTGAAAGCTTGCACCACTCGGGGCTGACTACTTGGGTACTTCTAACCCCCGCTATGTAGGACGCTGGGATCAACAGATTCATCACAAAACCAAAGTTTTTGGAAGTTTTTTTTCCTCATGACACCATGGGAACAGGAAGAGCTTGCCACAGGCACCAACGTGGAGGTTCCCTTCCTGGACGCCGCGCAGGGCTGCGAGAAGGTCATTTCCTTGCGACTGAAGCAGGCCCCGTAAGGGTTTCGGATGCTGCTTGTGGTGTTGAAAGGAGTCCGGTTCTTGTGGGGATTTCTTCTAGTTCTTCTTCTTCTTCTTGTGGTCTTGTAGTCTTGTGGTGTTGGTGGTGTTGCCCCACTGGTGCTAGTCGAGGCCGTCACCGCTTTTGGGACCACCCTCGGCCACTGCGCAGGTGTGCACGGATTGCAGAGGTTCTGGAGCCCGGGAGGGAACGACTTGGTCCAAGTGCCGAGTTTGCAAGGGCAGTGGCGTCCATCGACAAGAGATCCTTGGGGCAGAAGGAGAAAGTAGGGGGAGGAGATTTATAGTGGAAACCATTGCATTTACAGGTTGGAAATTGTTGCATCTACCTAGAAAAACTCAAAAGCACCATGCTTGACGCGAAAGTTCTGGAGTGCTCTTGAATTTGACAGGGGCTTTGCTATTGTCTTTAACACTTCTACAATTGGAAGGGGTCTCCAAAAAAGCATTTTCTTGGTTTCCTCGCCTCCCAGGAAGGGAATCTTCAGCATGGGTCTTCCCTGCCAACGTTGCCGCGGAAGTGGTATGGTCCTGGACCATCCCTGTCGCAGCTGTCGTGGCGAGACCACCAAGATGATGACGCGCGAGATCCGCGTAAGTCACCTGGATCCAATGATGGGGTGCTGGATGGCGATGAAATGACTCTGATATTCTTCCAATTTTGGAAATCAAATTGAAATCAAGCACTTTTGGGAAAATGATTTTGGGGAATACATTCACTTCCTTTTTGAGCCCCTGAAGCAAACCGAAGGCTGTTAGCCTGTAAGTGGCTTGGGGAGGTTTTCAAGTTCTTGGAGTGTGGAACACAATTTTGGGCGTGTACTTTCGCGTACCCTCCAGGAATTCAAATTGACAAGTTGCAGTATCCCATTTGTAACTGGTTTATCGCCCCACAATGCACATGACAGTTGGGTCATGTTTCATGCCGCCTGTTTATAAATCATAACCCAGCTATATAACGATTCCCACGAGAATTTTTGAGGCATCCCTGCGGGCGTGCGGAACCAGATGGAGCTGCGTCTCGCCAATGCGGGGCACGCTGGGTCCCATGGCGGTAAGGCTGGACACCTCTTCGTGCAGGTGCCGGGGGCACCAGGATGGAAAGCCATGAAAAATCAATTGTAAATAATGGGAACGGTAATCGGTAAACATTTTTCTGGGAATTTTGGGAAAGTATCTTTGTATGTATGTGTGTGTATATATATAGAATATATATATAATATTCCTTAGATGATTTTCCAATGATGCAGTAAATCTTTGGAAGATCCCCTTCTAAAGCCTTTGCAAATGCAAGGCCTATGCAAGACTTCTTTGGTCGCCAGCATCTTGTTTTTTTGGACATATTTTGGGCGAACTCCTCGTGAAGGGTCCGTGACCAACGATTTGACTCAAAAAGTGCCTGTGCATTAATCGCATGTGAAGGTCCAATAAATCCATACTCCGGATTTAACAACATTAAATGCCCATTTGGTTAGGAGCAACATATTTCTTCTAATGAATCTTCCATTAGAATTTGATGTTAGGATGCAATTCCTATTATACGTCCGGAAAAAAATGCTTGCTACAGTGTAGGATGTTGGATGATTTGAATGGTAACTACTGTGGCTGGTTGCGAAATCCTGCACCAGTTGGTAACTATTAGTCACTATGAAACACTGGGATTATCTAAAGGGATAAACTGATATAATGTAAACTGCCCATCTATTGGTCGGATTGGGTCACCGGTAGGTGAAGGTTTTGCCGCACGAGCGCTTCCGCCTGGTCGAGGATGATGTACACCTGGACGTGCCATTGACCTTGCGTCCACCCGACCGAATGGCCGGGGGATCACACCAGTTGTAGCTTTAGAAGTTGAAATGTGGAGTTGTACTGCAACAAGACTTGTAGGACATTGGTATGGAAAAGATATGAACAGATGGGAATATGACCCGTAATCACCATTTTTTCATATCTTTTGGCGTGTTTCACCCCTTTTGAATGGGATAGCTCCGGGTGTAGGTCCTGGAACTGAGATCCCAGCAGGTCCCATGCGCATGCCGGTAACCTTCAGGGTACCCAAGATTACCTCAGGGAGAAAAAAAAACACCGTTTTTTGTGGCATTTTCGTGAAACCATCATTCATGGGAAGGAAAATCAACTACAAATGGAGGTTTTATGAGGTTTTACTAAGAAAATCAACTATAAATGGAGGTTTTATATGGTTTTGATATGTTTTGATGAGGTTTTACTAAGAATCAACTACAAATGGTGGTTTTATATAGTTTTAATGAGGTTTTACTAAGAACATCAATTATACATGGAAGAGTTGTAAGGTTTTACCATGTTTTACCTAGGAAAGTCCACTATAAATGGTGAAACCATCATAAAAAACACCATCCCAGTGAAATCCCAGGTCAGGCTTTACTGGGAGCCGAAGTGACCATCCCCACCATCGAGGGACGATCAGACGCTCGGATTTAGGGGTACCCTATTTTCTGGCACCCAAGTGCACCAGACTAGAAGACGCTCGTGTTCACAGACTTGAATTGTTTAGTATATGTCAGGGTTCACGATTGAAATTGAACGCAGACCCGAATATGGCCCACAGATGCCTACAGTGCACCCATCCGATCTAGGACGTTTCACCCAAAAGCGGTGCAGGAACGCTTGGTGGTGCAGGCACCCGCCCAGCCGGGCACCACCAAAGTGCTGCGTGGCCGCGGCCCACCACGCTGCGATGCGTCGGGGCGAGGGAATTTGGTGCTGCACTTCTTGCTGCATCTGCCCAGGACGTTGAGCCCCAGACAGGCCGTTGGGAGCAGATGTTGAAACGTTGAAACGAAAGGCAGAAAAACAGATGGTGCAGTTGAGACTCCATGTTCCACCAAAAGGTTTCAATGTTCTTGCTGCTCTTGTGAACTCCTGCCAGCAATGTCACCGAACGTATCGTTTTGTCTAGAAACATCACTGATGGAAGTCTTTACACCCTTGGCTTCACCCGCGGATTTGCTCTTTTTGGTGATTAGGTGGAGTTGATTGAAGAGTTTGATGGATTGCAGATGGCCAAAACGTGAAAAGGGTGCGGCTCTGCCGGGGCGTGGGTTCCAACAAGCTTCGCATGACTCACAGGGCCACAGAGCCGACATGGGAGGTTGATTCCGTATCAAGCCGCAGCATTTGGCTGATTCTATGATGGTATGCACATGTATGGACAGCTTGAAGATTGGTGGTTCCAACATGTTCCAACTATATACATATATTTATTTATTTAACATTTTTTATCACCCAAAATGTGATGGTTGGGACATCCAGCTGCCGAACACAATCAGCAGTCACTGTTGGGTGTCAATCTCTGGGGGGCTGGTGCTCATTTTTAGAACCTTGGAACCCTTACTGCTGTTGGGTTGCAAAGCTGGGGTAATTCTGTTAACTTTCATCACAATATTTTTCCAATTCACATGGAAATATTCTCCTAATACCAGCCAAATTTCTTCATGTTATCCCATGTTCTCAAAGAAAACTCACATTCTCTGAAGAAATCCAATGGTTTTCCCGAATCAGAGTGCATCATGTCAACCATCATTTTTCCATCATTTTTCCATCATCTTTCCATCATTTTTCCATCATTTTTCCATAGTCATCATAGTCCCTTCAAAAAACAACGAGGCGACAACCTTTTTCCATTGCTGAGGTCCTACACCGAGGCGATGGATCGATCCAAGGGAAATACGGTGCAGGTGCACGGAACGTGCACGGCACGTCATTGGAGCTGGTAGAAGTGCTGGTAGAAATCGATGGATTTTAGATGCATATGTCAAACATATGTCAAACATATGTCAAACATATGTCAAACATATGTCAAACATATGTCAAACATATGTCAAACATATGTCAAACATATGTCAAACATGATATTTCTAAATGACTAAATGATACTAAATGACTGTAAATGCCCAACAAGTCACTATCCCACGAGTTTTTCTTTCAATTTGTAAGGGGTATCTGTATTGGCAATACAGTATTGAATCTAAGATCAGGTGTGCAAGAACAATGTCAACATGGGAGCCTCCTGTATAGCACCATTTGTGACTATGGGACTATGGGATGATCAACGCCTGACTTTGGGGGGGATGACCATACAATTGTATAGGTCCCCAAAGATAGGCCACATTTTTCAGTGCATCTGGATCAATTACAACGACTTCACGTCGCGATGTCATTGGTTCCATGATGGTATAGCAGGGGTAACTACCCCAAACTAGCCTCAATTTTCAGGTTAGTGGATGAAGTATAATATGTATAATTCATTTGGATAGATTATGTTGTTTTTCCCCATTATTCCCCCTCATGAATCTCGCTGCCAGGTGCGAGGCTACTGGGGTGACATTGTAAACAGCTGGGGTGCCACAGAAGTTCAAAGGTTCGTGGTCTGGAATGTATTTGGAACATCCAAAATGATGGGTTTCTGGGGCAAAATCTGTAGAGTTGGGAAGTAGTAATAGTAAGGTTTTGATAAACAGATAAACAATCCAGATGCTTGGACTTCGCACTGACACCCAAAGCCATTGAAACCTGTATGTGATCATAGATTCAAGGGTTGTACTTGCTTGTGGCTTGTTTTCTATATCTCGTCTGTTTCATATTCTGCTTGATGCTGGTTTATCTGAGTATGGCTTATATTTTCTCCACCTTTTTTATATCGCCAGGACATCAGCTCGCCATGACTTAAATCAGCTCAGCCAAGTTGCCAAGGTCCATATCACGGCTTTTGCACCAGAACGGATCCAGAGGTGAGGCATCGCCTGTTCAAGATCAACTCACAACAGTGCGCCGGGGAGCGGCGTGTTTCAGATAGGCTACCAGGTAACAGCATCTAAGAAAATGGATGAAAATGGCACATGGCTGGTTGTTTTGAGTATTGTATCAGACTGTCAAGCGCTGGGGCTAATGGAATGTTGAGCCATATATTTTATCCTGTGACGGCATTTTCAGATTCTTTATTTCTGGTGTGTAAACGCGCCACCGAGGTTTTAAAGAAGCCGCGGAACTCCGCCATCCTAGATTTTGATTACGTCTTAGTCCAATTATAGGGAAATGTACATTACAAATATCTATATAAATTATATTTACAATACTTGATAAGCAAAACAAACTGTACACTGGACACAGTATCCGCCAATAAGATTGGCAGCCATGCAAGTGGTTGTGATTAAATGCTACAATTATACTCGTCATGTCTGATATATTTTTCAAGGTAGTAAGATCATTGTGCAGTATGCAGACAGCCAACTTGTTCAGGTTGCTTGAGCTCAGTGTACCAGCCCCAAAATGTGGCTTGAGAATCTCCTGAAATATCCTGCCCGGCAGCTGAAGCTGAAAATGATGAAGAAAATGATGAGATCTCACAGCCAGCTGACAATCCTAATGTGCACCGATGACAAAGTTTGGTCCTCCTGGGCTAATTGAAAAGGCAACCGGACTCAGCTACAGTGTTTTGGATGTTTCTGGGATGTTGGGCACTCCAAGAATCCGCTGGTTGGTGCTCTACGCAGGAGACTGAGAGTTTTGGTACTGGGAATAACTGGCAATCAGTATATAAAAAATAATGTTTTGGTGCTGCAATCTGAGAATAACTGGCAATCAGAATAGCAATAATAGATGCTAATAATAGATGCTAATCATAGACAATAATAGATGATAATAATAGATAATAAAAATAACACCACTTATTAACCTACTATTATTGTTAACTTCAACCATCTTCAACCCCTTTTCTTGTTCCAACCCCCATCAACCTCAGACTGCATCTTGCTGCTCATTTGGCGCTCACTGGAAGCCTGGGCCTGAGGTACCGCCATACCGAGACAGATATTGCGGAGTACAACCTCACCGCGTCACCCCGGGGCGTCCGTTACAAGCGTTGCAAGTTGGGGTTAGATCTTTTGGGATCTGAAGTGCCCTCAATGTTAATCAAAATGCAACCCCTGCAAGGTGAGAAGAATGATGATGGGAAATTGTTCTCAGAAACTTCGCCTTTTGTGTTGCAGAAACTCATGGATGTGAGTGCTCCTCAGCCGGAGCAATTTATGATATAATTTATGCATGCGGGGCGCTACCAATTCCATTGCAATCTCTTTTTCGACGTTTACAATAACACTTCATCCGCCCTCTCCTTCCAAAGACCTGCATGATTTTCTGCTGCGTCTTGTGCCCCTTCCACTCGTGCAACCGGCGAACTAGCAGCATGAAGTCCTTGTGGAACATCTTCAGCGCTGGCTCAAACGGCTGAAACGGGTTTCTGTGGCCAAGAAAGCAGGAAAAACAGGCTGGGTCCACGGCCACAGGCTGCAGCATTCTACCCTATGAGCCAAGCTAGAGATAGCTACAGGATGCTACAGGAGATATGTGTGCCAGAGTCAAAAATTGGATAGTAGAATAGTGTATACTCTTATTGGGAGATGGTCATCAATCCATGAATAAGGATTTATATACCGATAAAGATTCCCATTCTGAGATGGATGAGCTTAAACCATATACATCCATATACTGTATCTTGACCCTAGCAACAGCACATTTGTTGGAATGGAAATGCCGTCCTGTCCCATTTTAACGGAAATATCAAGCAGCACGCCTCAAGTGATCAATTTTGGAATACATCCGTGCAGTGAAAAAAGATCACGCACTGATTTGGGTGCTGGATGCCACTATGGTCAGTGTCTTGCCGTACCCATAAGGATCCCCCTACGATTTTAAGCTACAAAGTTTGTGGCCTTGTGCCTCTTACAGAGGCTTCCATTTTAGTCAGGCTAACCGTGACATGAAATCCAGGTCCAAGATTTTGTAGCTTAAACTTGTGAATCTCATTTTATAAAGGAATTATTTTAATCATGTTAGCCCATCATGAAAATCGCAGAGGGATTTTGTAGCATGACATGATGAGCTTCATCAGAGCTTATCATATCAAAATCTAAGCATTTTGTAGCAAAGGGTATGTCCTTGTATGTGCAGTTGTTGAAAACGAAGGGGCATTTTGTAGCAAGGGAAAATCCCCCCTATGCCAAGATTGTTGAAACGAAGGGGAGTTTTGTAGCTAAGGCATGCTAAGGCCATTTTGGGAAAAAATGGAGCTCAGCAACCTCATTGTATATCCCCAAGCTTGCGAATCATGTTTGTAACAGAGTTAGGGTATGTTAGGGTATGTTAGGGTCACAATGTCTCCCCTGAAATTCGATGGGGGATCCATAAGGTATTTTTAAGGTCATCTCAACAAGGGCACCAGTGACCATCGGTTGAAGCGTTGGCAGTGTCCAGGCGAAGCGATGCCGGGGAACCCAGGATTGCCACATTTCGGCAGGGTATGTCACCAATGGAGCGGTTGGGGCCCAGTCTTGGTGGGTTGGGGGGTTGCGTGCATTTTGTTTTGCTTCTTCCACCTATTCAAGTGATGTGTTGGGCAAAATGATACTGTGGTGAAACGATTCATAGCCTCAAAAGTAACGGGTGGATGACGAAGACAATCTCAAACAATCAGGTGGGTTCGTTGGTTCGACCCCTGTCTAACGAATTTGGAAAAATGCCAATCTCTGACCCGTTCCAGGGACAGTAGCCTTGACTCAGATGGTGGAAAAATAAAGTGATTTGGGGGGAATTCCACTGACCAAAATTGGTTCCCTGGGGATTTTGACCAATCCAGGTCTTACATCTAAATTTCCAGAAGATTGGAAGATGCCACTTCTCCACCGATGTTCTTTCCCCACTGGTTTAATATTTGAGGGTAAAGGCACCCACGATTAATGAGCGGTTTTGAAGTATATCTATTTTTTATAAATATCTTTATCAAATTTATCAAACTTGTCAAACATCATTTTTCTTTCCCTCCTGGTTTTAGAGAAACACGATATCTCCTACAACCACGGGTTTTCGTCCCTTCCAGGGACGCGGCTTTTGTGGTGGCCGGATCGAAGGCGGGATCCTCTGCTTAACATAGCGAAGCCATGGCTCATTTAGTTCCATGATTTACAGTATGATTTAGCTGTAAAACATGGAAAATCACCATTTTTCATGGGAAAATTCACTATAAATGCTGATTTAACTATAAATCATGCTGATTTTTTCCATAGCTACGTTCAATTACCAGGGGCATCCAGGGGCTATTTGGTTGGTGATCCCATGAAACTAGCAACGGGACATGACACAATTATAGGACCTGGTGGTGTTTATCCCTCCCTAAGGATGGGATGATTCACCCCAACCGATGATTGCAATAAGAAACCCACTGAGGAATTGTCGCAGTGTGTCTCGCAGACTCGGCATCAAGGTATATTTAAATCGATTAAACCATATTTAACATGATTTGCCTAGAAGTATGCTGGTCAAGTGACATGCATTTTCACATCTGGACTGCAAAAAACATTGACCCATCCTGACACCGTGTTCTTCAATGACTCTAGGCCCCAACGTCGGCACTTGCGCCATGTGGCGCACCGGTTGGAGGTGCAGCAGGGCATACCCGTCATTGCCGTTAATCCCATGCAACGAATTACCATGGCATATATGGCTTTGTCAATGATTTACCCCTAAATCCAGTGGTCAATCATCATTTTCCCCATCAACGTAGCTGTTTGGGGGATATGCATACATACCTATTTTTCAGACACCCATATGCCATATAGGGAGGTCAGTCGAGCTTGGGATTTCACGGAATATGAATCAACAGAATTGGGGATTCCAGCCAGCAAACATGGAGATATTGGAGTAATTTGCGGGGATGCCGCACGATTGTTATTTGGATTTTTGGGATGAATATCATGCCAGCTACATAGGGTGTGAACCGCAGGGTGCCAGGGTTTATGTTCATATAAATGCAGATGCAATTGCAGGGTCAGACAGAAATTGTATGAAATTGTAACATCTTGTAACTACCGGCGGGGTTGTTGGACATTGGTTTGTCCCAGCGGGATGTCCGCTGCGGATTTCTCGTGGAAGAACTCCAGGTTCCAAGGCTTGTCTCGCGGGTAGCGTTTCGGTGAGCAAATGGCGACAACCTTTGCACCTGAATTTCCAGGGGATCAAGGGATTTTCTGCTAATACCCGCTGAGACGGCTGTAGTAGTTGCCCCTTCTGTGCTGTGCCAACGGACCATGATGGTTTGGTCATCCCGTAGGATCCACCTGATACCTGGGAAATCTTGGTGGATTCTTGAAACTATCCACCTCAAAAGCAACCCAATTCTGCCGGTATTGTTTTTGGGGTTACATCATCTGTACATCATCTGTACATCATCGTATATCATCTGACATCATCTTACAATATCTTACATCCCCGTTTCTCTTGGTTCGACATTCAACGACCATGTTTCGTAGTGCTGCAGTGCCTGGGGAAAGGCCATGCCACTGCCCGACAAAGCTTCAGAAAGCTCGATTTGGCGCAGCCTGGACTAAGGGCAGCCCTGGTTTGTGGGGACATGTGGGGACCCCGCGGATGATTATATTTATAACACTACATCTAACCATCATTTAAGGGAATGTTAAATAGTTCATTTATGTTTATGTCCATTTGTGCATATGGAAAGGGATCACCATCATCACTCAAGTCTATGTCTTCTTCACATGGGGTTTGTTTTGAAAATGGGAAATGGTTCCCAAGTTCTGGCCATTCTGAGGTTTTACACTTTGGATGATTTTGCAGTACCCTGTTTTCAGACAAACTCATTTGGGGCCATTGGGGAGGTGTAAGTGACCAAAACAGGATTTTTACCAGTAAAAGGGGAAGAAATCACAATAGATTGGGTTTCACCAAGTAAACACATAATTCCAGCAACGAATACGTCGTTTTAAGCAGCAAACATAGGGATTGAACTAACACAAAGACACCGGGG